TGCTTGATTTTATTGTTGTTCCGATTGCATTTTATTTTAAATCATTTCATTTCAGGTATCCATCAAGAAGCCGTACTTCTTCGAAGATCGTAGTGATATTGCGACAGTGGAGAAGCTAGAGCAGAAGTATGTGTTGTGTCCATTTGCCGTGAAAGATGCCTATTTGGTGTATGTGGTGAAAAATTTTCACGAGAATCGACCCAGCAGCTCTATTTTAATATTCTCCCAAACGTGTCGAGAGTGTCAAGCTCTAGCGATTATGTTCACAGGATTGGGATTTCAGGTTGGAAGGAGAAATTTTTTTGGAATATTTTAGTGATTTTTAGTGCTTTTTATTGCGGTTGTTCATTTTATTATCGAGTTAATGTAACTAACTGTAATGCAGTTGATACGCAATGATAAAACATTGGGGTTTCAGTTAAACTCTTAATTTTCATCTGATCTCTCTGATCTGATCTTAATCAGTGATTGTGATCTTGATCTGTTCAATCACATTTTTGTTAACCACTTCATTCAGCAGCTCAACCAGTCAATAGCTAAGATATTGGGTTGTGCGTGTGTTATGATTAGTTTGCATAAACATCTTCTTTACTTTATTATGCTGCAGGTTGGCTCGTTACATTCACAAATAAGTCAGCACGAGAGGATGTCCGCGTTGACCAGATTTCGTTCGGGTCGAATTCGGATTTTGATTTGTACGGATTTGGCTGCGAGAGGATTGGATATACCGCATGTGAGTTGATTTGTTATTATTGTATGGTTGGGTATGGTTTGGTCGTTGGTATTCTTATTGAATTGTAATTGTATTTAGATAAGTAAGTAAATAAATATTGTATATTGTAAGTATTGAGTAATATTCTGTATATATTGTGATTATTGTATGATTGTAAATATTGTATAATAGTTAATATTGTATAATCTAGTAATTTGTTTCTTTATTAATTAATTAATTTATTTACTTATTTATTTGTTTACTCATTTATTTATTTACTCATTTATTTATTTATTTACTTATTTATTTATTTATTTATTTATTTATTTATTTAATCAGCAAATCAAACTCATAACGAGTTAATGCCTCTCTGTTATCACCNATTTATTTATTTATTTATTTATTTATTTAATCAGCAAATCAAACTCATAACGAGTTAATGCCTCTCTGTTATCACCAATATCACTGATATCATATCCTTCCTTCGTTGATATCCTTCAAACCGCATTCTTGTTATCGTATAATCATTGTTGTAAAATAATGTTCAATGTCGATTAGTTATATTGCGTCAGCGAATATAGAATGGGTTTGTTATTTGATGTAATCATTAGCCATTGGACGGATGATCAATCGGATCGAAATGTATTTTCGGGCTCATTTTGAGTTCCTCTCCGTAGAAATCATTGGACAGCATGGGATGGAGAATAGACCAAAACCTGAGTGATCTCCAAATCAATCGATAATCGACGTGATCGCCAAATCAGTCATAATCGAAGTGACCGCCAAATCGATCAGTGATCGGAGTGATCGTCAAATCAATAATCAATAATCCGAGTTAGAATTTCACGAAGATAGTAACAGATGATTCCGAACGCTAGTATCGTTAGCTGCGCGGAAAGAAGAATGCCAACGAAGGAAGACAGTGATATTGGTGATAAGAGAGAGGCATTGACTCGAAATGAGTTGCGGTTGGATTCGCTGATTAGATGGATTAATTAAAAAACGTGTAATAATTAATTAACGAATGATAATTAAAGGTTGATCTCGTGGTGAATCATAATGTGCCACGAACACCGAAAACGTACGTGCATCGTGTGGGCAGATCGGCTCGTGCCGGCAGG